TGGGGTTTCCCCGTGGGAAGAAGCTGCCCGGCCAGCAGCCCCTGACTGTGGGGATCCTAGCAGGTAGCTATCTCCCACCTCACCCCCCCACAGGGGCTGCGGCCGGAGAAGCCTTTGTTCAGGGCTGGCTGCCGCAAACAGGGGCTGATGGACTCAGTACAAGCCGGGACCGAGCAGTCCCAGCTCCTGCTGGTCTGGGATGCTGAGGCTCTTCATTTTAAACAGTTTTAAAAGCATTTTAAACACATTTTAAAGGCTCTGCAGAGCGGTCCTTATTGACTAATTGTATAGTCAATACAAATTGTATCGACTACACGATTTGTCAGATAATCGTAATTTAACATCCCTAACAAACAGGCCTTAAGTTTGAATTGCAAAGAGTAATATGTAACTTCAGTTCCATCAAACTTTCATTTCTATTAATTCAATATGTAAGGGAGACTGGAGTAAGGAGGACGGTAACCTGTTATATTCATGTAGTCAAAGCCTTATGAGTCAGCAGTGACTAAACAGTCATTTTCATTGGGAAACTAGTAAACGCTCTCAATCAGACACAATTAAAGAGATCATGTTTTTCAAGTAGCACAACTATTAAACAAAACTACTAAATTGAGAGTTCAGTGTTTCAGGCAAAAGACTGTGGCTCTATTAAATAAAAGTTAATGTATTATCTCACCCAAAGTTGTATTTACTGATCTGCTAGCTATGTTTTTAACATTTCAGTTTAATGCAAAAATATGTCTAAGCTTTTCTTTGCTTAAAAGGTACTGAGTAAGAATGTTCCTTCCTTTGTTAAACCTAATGTAGATTTTCATTTTTTAGGACAGAAACTTGCCCTACCTCTGGAGAAACAGGATTGCATAGCCCTATGTTAATAGTAACATTGTACGTGAATTACTCTTGTGTGTATTATGTGTATCCCTCAAACACTGTGGCTATTCGATTGATATACCAATTCTATTTCAGAAATTTAAAGACTATTTGAAACTTCTGAGAAAGATGAACATTGAAGCTGTTACAACTTCATTTTTATTTCATGAGATTTCTATAGAACCTTCAGATGGTTACCAAGGTTGGCATATTACCTGGTAATAGCAACGTTTGATACAACAAATTCTGAATTTAATTCTAAATCATTGTTAAATAAACTTTAAACCTAACATGGGCTAAGAGGTATAAGCTAATACTGTAAACATTCTTCAAGCGATTTTTGCTTGAGAAACACAACACCACTTGATCATTCAGGCACAAAATGTAACTTAATTTAAAAAACTTACGATATTCACTCATTTCTAAATAATAAATGCAATGTTTTGTTTTGGCTTTCTATTACTACCCTATGCATGGCTTACTATCCAATGCACTAGCGCACAGGAACCAGAAACTGAAACTAATCCATTTGAACTGTGCCAAATGACAGATGGGCAAAAAGGAACACAGGTAACTAGTGAAAAGGAATTCTGACATTTCGAAGTGTTTTATTAGAGGGTATTACATTTTATCAATCAAGTTTTATTTTAAAAAAATAAGATAAAAATGCCCCTTACACATAGCTGTGGCCCAACCTAAACACGATACATTTTAATTAATCCTTATGAGCCGAACAGACTGCACAACAGCGGAATAGTAGCTGCTTCCTCCCTGCAGCATTGCAGAAGTCGACTGATGTTAGTCTAAAGGCAATAAAGTCACTTCGTTTCAGACACACTTAAAGAACCCCGTTATCCTTCCGCAGGGTTTGGAGGCGCTGGAGAGACACAGCACAAGGCACTCCCGGGGCGTCAGGCTCCTTCCTGCGGCCGCCTCCTCTTTTAGTGAAGCCACGCGCCTCTCAAGGGCCTGCAGACTCAGCGATCAGATTCCCATCCCTGAAGCCCCCTCTCACCTGTCACTTCGTTTCAGACACACTTAAAGAACCCCGTTATCCTTCCGCAGGGTTTGGAGGCGCTGGAGAGACACAGCACAAGGCACTCCCGGGGCGTCAGGCTCCTTCCTGCGGCCGCCTCCTCTTTTAGTGAAGCCACGCGCCTCTCAAGGGCCTGCAGACTCAGCGATCAGATTCCCATCCCTGAAGCCCCCTCTCACCTCAGCAGGCCGCGCACCACAGGGGCGGGCTCCCCCCCCCCCCGGGTCCCTTGGGGGGGGTGGAAAG